CTATCATTGATCAATTTTCAACTTTATCATAGGTTGCTATGGTTGGTTTTGTACTAACGGTGGCATAGAGTTATGGTGTTATGTTATGGGGTATGTAGAACCATTGAGGGCACTATGTTTACCCGATCTCTCGGTGTGAAAGCAAGAGAAAGGTAGGAGCCAACGTACAAGGCCCCGAATTCCATCGCTGGTGAAAGAGATTTTTAATAGCTTATGTATAAGACTGGTTGATTTTTCTTGTTTTAGTTTATTGATGATTATGTTACTATTGTTTTTAAATAAGGTTTTGTAGATGGGTACCGTAAACTAAGAGTGCAAGCGAAAAATTTGTCTCTGAAACTTTAAGTTAAAATGAAGTATTGTATTCGAAGAATTATGTAAAAAAAAACCCTTTAAATAAAGCTGAATACAGAATAACTTATTGATGTATTAGAAACTTAGTGCTACATGAAATCCAAGAATAAGTTATGTACAAATTTGGCTAATGATAATGGTAATAAACCTTTTTGTTATGGTAAATATCTACCTACTCGAACTAAAAACCAGTATTTAGATAGCAAAAATGACTATAAACGTTTTATTTTTGGCACTATATTTTCTTTGTGCAATGAGAAATGATTATTAGCGACCCGCCCGCTTCGCACGGGTGCAATATGCATGTATTATACATATAAACCTTCCTTAGGAATAACTTTATCTATTAAAAAAACCGCATCAAATACTTATCGTTGCGTAGTTTTAAACATCTAAGCTCTATAGCTTAGATATTTAAAACGCCCTATGTCCCTATGGACAGACGGCGGATAGCGACTTTGCTTTATACTATGTAGTGATTTTACTTAAAAAATTTCATTTAAGACAAGGATGTAGAATATTGCATTCGAAAACTATGAAAATTCTTATGAAAGCTGATAAATAAATAAGTCAATGTTAATGTTGAAATCAACTTGATCTAAGTATGAAGTAATAAGTGTGATAATACGAAAAACATCTACTTACAATTAATTTGAAATTCTGGATTCTTATCTGGAACCTATTTAGGATCAACAGGCAATCTATTGTATTATCAAAGGCGTAGTCTCAAGTTACGTAAGATATTTTCTAACATTCGTATTAGAATTGAAAATCAATCAATCATAATGTTTCAAACAAAAAGAAAATGTAATTAAGATCTTCTTTTCAGTGATATAAAATTAGCAGAGATTATCAAAATGTAAAGTTTTCAGGATGCAAGGTGGGCAAATAATAAATATTATTTAGACATATAACTTTATTTTTTATATCGACCTGAATGCTACTTTTTGAATTTTAAAGGAAAAATAGTAATATTTTTCATACCTAATTTAAATGTGATCTTGTAATTTTATATTAGGAAGTGATTCTCATTGAATTTGACAAGGTTGTATACATTCATAAACTATTTTAAGCGAATAGTAAAAAATGTTGCTGATTTATTGAGGCTACAATCAACTTACACATTCAATTTACATTATTAAAATAGTAATAACAAATAATATTATGGTTTATAACAAAATTAAGAGACAAGCTGTTAGCTATTTCTTACTTTTTACCACAAATAAGTAACTTGCAGAACTTAGTACATTATCAAATCAACGTGTTTAATTTATTGTAACTTACAATTGTAATTATTAATGAGAAAACGGAACAAAATACAACAAAAATGTAGGCAAGTGAAAGTGTCACGCACACACTGACATTGTGCGTCTGTAGTGGTGGAGAAAGTTAGCCGTCTACATAATAGAGATTTCGAATGGAATGGAGACGAACTGCATTGTTATTATTTAGAAAAAACTGTTTTTTAAGTTTTAAATTAAATTTATAAGCTGTTCAAATTATAAACTAGTTTTGATTTATTTGATTTATAATTTATAATAAAATGAAAATTATTTGTGTTCATTAAAATTGTGAGACTAATTGACTGATTTTGGTTATATGAACATTAGGAAAGACATTTGTTTTTAATTTAGTAATTTACAAATAGATCTCTTTAAATGATTTTGTTACCTATAATCCAAAAATATTTATTTTGAGGTGACATACCTAAAATATTACTACTGGTAATAAGGTGAAACAAAATCGATGAACTACGTTACAAAAGTATTTTCACACAAAATAATAATTGAAATCTAGCCTACAACGTAATTTCATTGGCTGTAAACGTTACTGGTTGTCTTACAAATAATATATAATCAAATATCATCTCCAAACATTTCTCTATTCAATAATTTTCACGGCAATGTGTGTGAGTGAAAGGCGTGTACATACACGGCTGTACCCACGCACAGCTGTGCATGTGTGAGTGAAGATGGCATGTTGTTTTTTTAACATTCTATCTATATTGAAAACTAGTATAAAAGTGGACCCGTCCGTTTGTACGGCTTAGTTTCTAAATAGCCGGAGATGGGAGAATGTCTGTTGATTATGATTTTCAGGAAATATTTTTGTAAGGGACATTATTTTTAATCTTTAGATAAATTCATTAATGTTTTGACATAGTACATTATAGGTACGTTTTATCAATGTATGTTATGTTTTTATATTATCAAATCACACGTTAGCTTTATGTTAGGTTTTGCAGGTATACTTACTTACCTAGCAACCTATCATCAATCATATACTTGATACATTACGTAGTATTTGTTTCTATTTTTTTTTAAATTATTTGTAATTTTTTTTTTAATATGAACTGTAATTATACGATTACATTACTTAAATAATGTTAAAAACTATTACCAGCATGAAAGGTTTTATTGTTTAGTAATATTATTAGATTTTTTAAAGAGGCCTTCTAGTAGATTTTTTTATTTTAAGGGGAATAATCATCCAATTACTTCTACCTAGTTGAGGCGGGAGGGAGTGTCAGACTCTTACTGACTAACAACCATCCCGTTTCTACTCCTGTACTTCGAGCCTTATACGTTCTCCGTGGTACTAGTAGAGGATGTCATTTTGCTAGTATGATATTGTATTGGTGATAATGATACATTGTATTATTTTACGTAGCTACCATATTCTAATTATCACCTGTTACTTTGCCTCCTAAAATGGTAGCACTAATTGTTCAGTTTTATACATATAAGATTATTTATTATTCAGGTGAGAGACACCTTATATTATCCTGTAATATGTACTTAAAGTGTAGGTAGATAAAGCCGATTGATTTAGTAATCACTTTTAACTTTATAAATACGTTTGATGATTGCTACATAATTTTATTACTCTTAATTATATAATTACCTACCAATCAATAAAATTAATAAAAAGAGTTTAAAAGAACAAAGTTACTAGTACTTTAGTTACACAAAGTTGCCAAGAGATGGCGCTGGCTGTGTCATTCAGGCACAATTGTAGAATATTACGCATCGTTGATTTCTCGACCGTTACTTGGTTCTGAGTTTGTAAGACTGGGTTACAAAAGAGGAACACTAACTATAGAATGTTTGTATAAAAGAAAAGATGGCTAAGGTATTTTGATTTGAATTTATTCACACCTTCAAACCACTATGGACTAGTAAAAACTGTAGTGTTCGTCTACAGTTATCAGAACTGATAATTTTAACCTACCTACTTAAATGGCGTCACCCATTTCATCAACGTTTGCGTAGTTTTGATCAGTCATGGGTCAATGATGGGAGTGAGTTTATTACTGTACCATGTATCAGTTAAAAAGACAACTAGTGGTATTTTGTTAAACCTTAAAATCAAATACCAGGGCACTTACTCTTGATACCAATCTCAATGTCAATGGAATTTCAATACAATAAAATCTCAATAATTATTCAATTCAACACTATACACCCCCATCGTAGCTGTTAAAATAGCATTCAGAGTACGGAATATAAAGCCAAATACGATACCAATTAGTTCATTTAGTATCCACGCATCACGGATGCAATGGGCGCTAGTATTGCATCTCAAGAGTACGAAAATTCACAATACCAATGTCGATCGATTGGAATTGGATTCAAGAGTAAGCCCCCAGTCCCCAGATCTTGCTGGGCACTTGTAGTCGGTAGTAATGATATTTTTAAATTTCCATTAAATACATTATTTATTATGTTTTTGGCTTATTCACGTAATTATTTGACAAGAAACTCGACTAGTTTCAAGCCATGCTAGCGGCTCATATTCATGGGCAGTATTCTGTGACCCGCGACGCGGCAACTGGCATCGCTTGAAATTAGTCGAGTTCCTGCTCAAATAATTACGTGAGTAAGCCGAAAACGTAATACCTAATTAATTATAGTCATAATCAAATACATATTTCAATAAAAATCAGTTTATTTTATTTCTTACAAATACTTGTACAGTCTTATTATTGAATAATACATTATTTTATTACAAAGTTTAGTTATGACACACAAACCCGTAATAATTAGCTATTAAACTAGATAAATAAATATAAAAATCTTGAGCCTATCTGGCGATTTTTACAAAATGAAATTGTAATTAAAAAGAAATACATTTTTTATCTCACCCTGTGGTATCCAAGCTTGTTTTATTATTTGTACATTTTTTTTAAATTTAATTTTTATATTAATTCAATAAAAAATACATTTATTCAAATAAATTAATAAAATATTCAAAAATTTAAACAAATTACGCACCATTGAATTCAGCATGTTAAATAAAAATAATTTAAAGCTTACATACGCACCATTAAATCAATTTAATATTCTTAAAATTAATAGTTTATCAATCAATACGTTTTAAATATTTTCTTAAAAAATAACAAGATCATTGGAAATCTGTACTTATTTTTGAAATTATACAAAAATCATGACTTATAACCTATTTTGTTGGAATTGAAATATGATAAAAAATATGATTATGGAATGCTACTAGGTATTTATCAGTGATTTGATCAAAATAATTATAAAATAAATAATTCAAGTATAGCCTGACCTATAATTATTTTGACCAACATGTAAAATATGTACTACAAAAATTATCTAGTTTTTCAGGCTTAAATTTAGGTTTTATGAGCTGATCTGAGATTTGTAAGCTAAATCGTTGGCATCATTCGCGATGTTTGAAGATCTGGCGTAGGGGTAGGTAGCTGTTGATGCTGTAGGAGATGTCCATTGCTGAGATGACTGGAAACCAGCGAGCTGAGGAAGAAAGTGATGGTTAATATCTCTTTAGTTTAGCCTGTAGGTCGTCCACTGCTGGACCAGCAGTCTTAGGTTTATCAAAGTAAGCTGCTGCCTGATCTTTGTCCATATGTACTAGTGTAATCGACTCATACAATCAGATGTTGAGTAAACATCATGGTGATAAATGTAGACTCTATGTCGACTGTTTTTAAGGCTTGAAGACATAGCTTACTCAATAATAGTTAGGATCGTATTTATACATTTTTAAATTTGATGACAAACACAAGGTTCTGATTTAGGAAATAATTAAAAAAAAATTGACAGTGGCGAATAAATTGCCGTACCTGAGAGTCGAACTCGAGATCATTCTGCAATCACCACATGCAACCATAAGACACGCGATTTTATCAGAATCTCATATTTTTCTCTTAAAGAAGAAATAATTAAACCTTTAGAAATAACACTGAATTATACCTTGCCACTAATATTGTTCAGTCCACCTCCGCTCAGCAGTTTCTGGATCCCCAAAGCAGCAGCCACCACGAAGGCCAGTTTGGCGACCACCAGAGCCTTGGTTACCAAGAGAGTCAGACCTCCGAAGAGCAGACCAGCGACTGCCAGGACCTTGACTCCGATACCAGCTATGAGGGGCGTGTACTTCTTGATTTTGCCACGAGCTGTGAACAAAAGAATATTTAAATGATAGCTTTTGTTACAAGCTCACATAAAGTGACATAGCGACATTTTATTACCGAAGAGGTACTTAGTCAGAGATGAACTTAACACAATGGTGCCATGTGCAATATAGTTCTATTCTGAGTCCTATGTAATATAGAACTGAGTTTATTGTTATATACTTTTTTTTTAAGAGGGGAAAATCATCGAATGACTGCTCCCGCCTGGGTGAGGCCAGATGGAGTGTCAGACTCTTACTGGCTAAAAACCACCCCGTTCCTTCTTATGCACATCGAGTCGATTACCACGTATCAGGCACAATTCCAGGCTCCGTACTACTACTGAGATTTTTTTTTAAGCCTAGTAATATTTTGCCCGACCCGGGAATTGGACCCGAAAACCTTTGTCCACCAATCGCACTTGCGACCACTTGGCCAACGAGGCAGTCGATTATTAAATCTAACCACAAATTTTATACCTACGAATAATTTATTATTGTAAATCAACAACATAGAAAAAAAGCGTATTATAATAAATATAAATTATTTAGTTATCGTGCCAACCCTATCCATTGCGATAGCGTAACCTTGACCATGCGGCCACTCTCTCACGTAACAGCTGTAACAGTTCATTCACACACTATCATACTAATATATTATTATGATACTTTCATTACTATCACATTTCATTTACTATACTATTGTTATATGCTTTATACACGACATCTTTATACTTCTGTAATATTTTTTTACACATTTTTTCAGTCAAATTTTTTAGGTCTATTGATATTGTTTAGTTGAAATGTGTCAACAATACACACAAATTCATCACGCCTTTTATCTCCGAAGTGGGAGGCAGAGGTGCACATCACTTAATGCCACTGTGTAATTTTACACCCACTTTTCACTATTTATGTCAATACGTCAACAATATACACAAAATCATCTTTACCTCTTTCATTACGCACGACGGTACGAGATACAGGAAGAAGAAAATAAAAGTCACAGTTATTGTCATTTGTTCATAGATTTTGAAAAGAACTTTGCAAAATAACATAGGTACCATTAACACTTTCAGTGTCATTGCCATTTTAGTACTATTCCTTGTAATATCATGTTAGTCCGGAGGTTTAAGGCGGTAGACACCACTGACAAACGGTAAAGGAAAACATCGGGAGAAAACCTAGGCTTATAATTTCTAATTATAAGTTTTTTTTTAATAAATAATAATAAATTGAATTTCTCCACGGACTCGTGTCCGTGCCCTTGTCATGTTACAAATACATAATTGTCATGTCAAATATTTTTTTTTTTATAAATATCTTACATGCTACGTCTACCACTATCACTACATACAATTCTTTATGTTGTTACCTAATTATTATAGTCTTATTATCTTAGACTAACCCTACTGAATCAGCCTACCAGCACGATGAACGAGCCGACCTGTTCCAGCAGAAGGCACCCGTTCACGGGTATGACGTGTAGGCCAGCAATCGGTCCGATCAACCATTTCGTAGGGAACGGAACGACCCAGCCCACAGCGCCACCGACTGTAGAACATTTTAATTATAAGTTTGTAATCGCCAACCCGCATTGAGCAACCGTGGTGATTAATGCTTAAACCTTCTTCGTGTGAGAAGAGACTTTTGGTCAGCAGTGGCCACTTATAGGCTGTTGATGATGATGATAATGACCGATATCTTCATTTGGTTTTATTTATTTCTCGAGGTACTCAAATGTAGGCTTCATGGAGATAGCATTCGTAACCTTGACCACTGCGCTCACGTAATAGTACATTGACCCCAACGACTACTTTCATTTCTTTCTCTACTAAGAGATGTGTGTTGTATCATGACTATAACAATAATGCTTCGTTGGCCGAGTTGTTGCAAGTGGGCAAGGGGTATCGGATTCGATTCCCGGGTCAGGCAAAATATTAATGGATTTTTTTTTTTTTAAATTCAGTCTGAAATTGTGCCCGGTACATGGCAATAGGCTCACCCCCTATTACATGGGACTTATAACATGAATAGTGAAAAGTGGGTGTTACATTGAACGATGGCATTGACTGCCGTAATGTAGCCATCACCCTAAAAGGCGTGATGTTATGTTATGTTATTATAACAATAATCATTACTAAAAAAATGTTCTATTTCTGAAAATTTGTAGAAATAGGTGACTGTTGGACATTTTCTATATGGAAATAGTTCGTAAACTTATTTAATTTCGATAAGCACTATGTTATTGGACATTCTGGATTAATAAGTCTAGAATTTAGCAATTACATGTAAAAGAAAAAGTGTCTAATGATATAATAAAATGTAAAAAAATTATAATAATGGCGACACCGTCCTTAACTAGGTCATATCTTATCATAGACTATTATATATATAAAGCGGAAGCTTTTATTTGTTTGCTTGAACGCACTAATCTCCGTAACTACAAGTCTGATTTGGATAATTCTTTTTGTGTTGTATAGCGCATTTATCGAGGATGGCTATAGGCTATAAAACATCACGCTACGACCAATAGGAGCTGAGCAGAGTGTGTGACACCGCGCGGAAGTAGTTAGTATTAAATAATTACATTAAAAAAACTAAATAAAGCATTGTATATACCTTCTTCGAATGTCCTGGCAGCTTCCCTCAGTTCACCAGGTTCGAACTTGACGTTTAACTTTTCTTCTCCAGCCGCGTCTCTGTAAATAAAATACAAAATATGATATATTTTGATCCATCATCAAGAGCCTGTGAAGTCCATTGATGGACTTATAGACTTCGTTTAAATAACCTTCTATTATAATAATTCTATTACTATAAATGTTCCGTATCTAAATTGAAGTCTTTTGAAAGGCCTGACTGATATTTTAATGGGATAAGCCATACGGATTATACAGTAAACGAGCATACGGATTATCTGATATTAAGCAATTGACGCCGCCCATATGTACCCAAAACACTAGAGGCGTTACAAGAGCGTTACTGGCCTTTTGGGATTTAGGAATTTGAGGATTGTTGACGATTCAGGGATTGGGAAGCTTGACGAGAGGAGTAATTTGGCTCTCACATGACGGAACATAACGCAAGCGTTGTTTCACGTCGGTTTTCTGTGAGGCCGTGGTATCACTCCGGTCGAGCCGGCCCATTCATGCCGGAGCATGGCTAATTTCAGTTTGTGTTTAATTTTTATATTAAACTAATAATTAAAAAAAAGCTTATTATTTTTTCTTAATAAAATAAACTGTTTTCAGATTCTCAACTACAAACTACAGTAAGTTTATGAATTTCATTCTGGTGAGTGGGTGACATTATTCGCATTAACAACGTTTTATTTGTATCGAATCATTCGATCTACAGAATCGAAGTTAACTGTTTGTATTTCACACTGATTTCATGGGATTAAGCTGTTGTTATAAAGAAACAGTTATTCATTACAAGTCAAACAGAAAAATATTTTTTTTGTATCAAACACTTAAATAATAGAATTCAATACACACCACAATACTTCTACAAGCCACCCATACACTAAGTCAAAGTCAAAATCATTTATTTTAATTGGACCAGAAAGGTAGTTTTGAATGTCAACAAAAAATTAAAAGTGAAGCTATTTGTTAATTCGAAAGCGAAGGTTCCTATGGACCAACGAGCAAGAAACTCCATAGATTACTCTTTTACAATCAGGTTAACAATACAATGGGCAGTTTCCTAAATTTTATTTAATGTCCGTCTGGTACATTATTGTAAAACTTTAGACACGTATTTTTCTTTTCTCACAAAATTAAATACTTTCGACGATATATTTATTAAGAAAAAACTCAGTAGTAGCACGGAATTTTCAATTGTACCCGGTATATGGCAATAGGCTCACCCCCTATTACAATACAGGTGTTACATTGTACTATGACATTAAGTGCCGTAATATGCTTCTCTGCCTACCCCTTCGGGGATAAACGGCGTGGTGTTGTGTTATGATTGAAAAAAAAAGAAAACATTGGAGGTACCTTAACTATTTCATAGATAACAACCCACGGAGATTAACACTTAAGCGAAGAATCATAATCGCCTATTTCAAAATAATAAACAAAAGACAACAAAATGATAATCTTACAGCAACTTATACAAATCAGAGATTACCCCGCCCCTCATCCATTCAATACAAGAACATTTACATACAAATACTTTCTCTGTATTATTTATGTATTATATGATTTCACTTTTAATGTCATCATAATAAATGATCACGCCTTTTATTTCTTAAACACAGCACAGCTTCTGCGGGGCGGGTTTGCTCGCCTTCCTGTGAGGTATAAAAAAACCTTTTTTTATGGCACATGCCGGCTGGTAAACGAGCAGACGGATCACCTGTTGGTAAGCAATTGGCGTTGCCCATGGACACCTGGAACACCAGAAGCGTTACAAGTGCGTTACCGGCCTTTTGGGGATTAGGAGTTTGACTCCGTGCTACAACTAAGATTTTTTTAAAAAAACTCCGTAATACTTTGATTCCAGACCCCGTGCTACTACTGAGAATGGGGATGATGACAGGGTATGAAAATTAAAAATATAATTAGTCCGTAAGTTAGGTAATGAAAAAATATTAGACACGTATTTTTTTATTTTGTCGTATAATAAAACAATACTTAGATAAAACGAATCAAAGTTTAGGAGTGGGGGCTAAAACGTCATTCCTTAGTATAAAATGTACTGAGAAGTGACGTCACGCGACATTTCAAATCAATATATCTTCGAAACTATTCGTTTCTGTGAGAGAATAAAAAATACGTGTCTAATGTTTTTAAATAATCTATCAGACGGACATTAAAATAAAAATTAGTCGTCTACCCTATTTTTAAAAACCCAATAACACTTTGCCCTACCCGGAAATCGAATCCAAGACCCCTTGCCCGGCAGTCACACTTGCGACCACTTGGCCAAGAAGGTAATTATTTCGAAGTAATTACGTCCAAAGATCATAAGAGAACACTGTGCATTACTACTAGCTAACACTCATGACACCAGTCTCCGGCTTCATTTCTAAACAACATTGAGATGTAAATAAGTGAAATACTTGTAACGTGTATATTATATTGTTACAGTTCACTTACGAAATAACTTGTTGTTTAACAAGACATATTTTCTAATTTATGCGCTAAATGTCCATGGCTAGAGTATATTTTAGAGTGATAATAAGTATCTGCATGATTACAGCTAGTAGTTGAATGGTAAGTTGTAGGGTGAAAATTAAGCTCAGAATGATGTGAACTAATGGGGTGCCATGTCTTAAACTGTTCTGTTGATATTATGCAATACATTTTTAGTAATAACTTAAATCATCATTTGTTTGGAGAGCCATGCTTCAGCACAAATGGGCCGGCTCGACCGGATTGATACCACGGCCTCACAGAAAACCGACGTGAAACAACGCTCACGTTGTGTTTTGTTTTGAGAATGAGGTTACTGGAGGCCCATTTTCCCCAATCTTCAAATTCCTAATTCCCAAAAGACCAGTAACTCATTTGTATTGCGTTTCAGGTGTCATTAGTGATGTCGATTGCTTACCATCAGGTGATTCGTTAGCTCATTTTCCAGCTTATACCATAAAAAGACTCTGCTTCCTTCGCATAAAAAATGAGATTTTATATCATAGGTACAACTGTATTCTGTCAAGCCACGAATAATATAAAAATAATATTAGAGCTTGTTCTAGTTAAAAAACAATGTAGGTACACACAGCCACACATCAATCTATACAAAACCAGTTTATCCTGGTTTCGCGTCGCATCATCTTTCCGCACATTTAAGGTTCAGTTTATACTGGTTATGTAAAGCTTGATGTGTAGCCGTGAGTACAACACCGTAGCATGTTAAGTTAAAACATATCTTAGAACACGTTAAACATACATAGTTTCAAAGTAAACAAAGAGGAGTTGTTTTTAAAACGTTTTGCTACTCAACTGCGCATGACAAAATGTGGTTGTTCCCTATTTTAAGTGAATTAGCATTGGACCCATTGTTTAAAAATTTTCTGTTTAGAATACATTGGAAAGTTGAAGTGTTTTAGGGCCGGTAATAGCTTTGACACTTGTCGGACTCTTAAGAAACTAGTAAAAAGTGTTACAATATTAGGTCCATGTTTGGCTGTCTATTTATTAAAGGACTTAATAGTTTATTTCTTTAATGCTAACCTGTGATGATAATTATAGATCACATTGTTATTTAAAACTATCATGTAGTTCGTCGCACAATTGATCCAACGAAACTATGTAACTAGAGAATTGTATTGTAAACCTGAATGAAAAAGAGTAACCTATAGAGTTTCTTGCTTGTTCTTCTCCATAGGAATCTACACATTGGAATGAGCAGATAGCTTCACTTTAAAATTTTTTTGTTGACATTCATAAGTGCCTTCCTGGTCTAATTAAGAAATAGGACTTTGACTTTGATGTTCACATCACGATATCAAGTTTTTACTATACAACTCAAAATGCAACCTCCCAGCCCCGGAACCTTATTAATTTATCAAAGAACAATTCTGTATTTATTTACCGATATCTGCTTTGATAACATGTTTAAAATAGTATTTCTATTGAAATGTAACATTTTTAAATACTTAATCTCATGTAATATAAACTAATTATTAAAACTAAGTCATGTTTTCTATTCTAAAACAATTGTTTTAATACAAGCTATCCTTCATATTTTCTTCTTCAGAAAAAGGTACTCAAAAATTTTCCGAGCACCCCTAATTATTACCTCCAACATAAAACATAACATCACGCCTTTTATCCCCGAAGGGGTAGGCAGAGGTGCACATTACGGCACTTAATGCCACTCTACAATGTAACACCCACTTTTCACTATTTATGTTATGTAGTCCCATGTAATAGGGGGGCTCACCCCCTATTGCCATTTACCGGGCACATTTCCAGACTCCGTGCTACTACTAAGGTTTTTACAAACCCAGTATTTTTTTACTAGTAATTATTACCCCCACTAAAACCAAATAAAAACAAGCACTTACTTTTCAATAGCTACTCCGGAGAACAGCTCGATTTTTCCATCTTCCTCGTTCGAAGCACCTGGAGCAGCACTGCAGGCTACCACAGCCACAATCAGAAATAAGCACAGCACACGCATTTTGAAAAAAATATTTTTTTAATTTTTTTTTTTTTTTGATCAACCTCTTGGCTTCTATAGTCCTGAGTGGACGGTGGTCTAGGATCAAGTGAGATGCGTCCGGGATGCCGCCCGCCTTTTATATTCTACCTTAGGAGCACAATAAGGATGACTGTTACGGAATACTGTGTAGTACGGCGAGATGATCTTGGTAATTGGTAAGGAAAATTTGGGAAGATTTACTGTAGGACGAAAAAATAATATGCTATGTTTTGTTTTTGTGTCAGTATAGTATAGTTAACATAATTAAACCTGATGTTTTTATTTCATTTCCTTTTTTTAGTGAAATTCGGAATACCTATAATACATAGATTACTACATATGTTACTGAACAGTAGATAAATGTATTTGTACCTTTAATTAGGTATTTTAATAGTAATCTGATTTTTTTTATTTTAAAGGTTTTTTATTAAACTTCAACATGCATTGTAAGATTTTTAATACTATTTAAATTATAGTTCCTTCAAATAAATAAAAACAATTGTATCGTCGCAAATAAAAACACAAGTATCAAGACTGCTAACACGTGTCGAGTACACTCATATTTTAACATGCGCACACGTCGTTTTGTCAACAAGCGTTAAACAAAAACAGATATGTTTTACCACGGTAGCATTGGAAACTGAAAAATGGAAATTACATAACTTTATAGATAAAGTTGCCTTAAAAAATTAATATTACGGGAATTCCAATAAACAAGATTGAAAACTTGTTATAGAAAATTGAACTTAAATTGATTAAACTCATGATTATGACACCTTACTATCTTATTAGCTTATCATCAAATTCTAACAGTAAATCAATAAAGTTGAAATTACATTATATTCTCTCCTACTTACTTCCGTGAACCTTCACCCACTATGCCGATCCTATTGGTTAGAGCTTAGTGTATCATAGCCTGATAAATGCACTACCGAATTCAAATCTTCAGACATAAGTATCCTTAAACAAAATCTTCAACATTATACAATAAAAAAATTAAAGTATAAGAATTGGGGATAACTCTTTAATACATTTGTTTGAAGTCCATATATCCAAACATAAACCCCCCAATTTCTACAACGGGACTGTGTATCCATTACAAGAGAAATCATTTCAGTTGGCAATGCAAACGTTTATTGTTGCATTCTTAACCAATTTGCTGTCAAATTTCACTTTCGTAAATATATTTACTGAATCCGCATCCTATGGTATATGACGCCATGGTTTTACGTAATATTTAAGCCAAGCTTGTATGTTCTTCGAAGTTTACTAGGAAGAATGTTTTATTGCAAGTCTGAGTGCTGAGTCAGTTTTGTTTGTAGGTAATGTAAATTAGGTATGAGTTGTCAATGGATACATTTCAAGCCTCTCAGTCAGGCTTGAAATGTATCCTTACTAATATTGACTTGAAACTTTGAAAGTATGTTATCCTTACTAATATTATAAATCGGAAAGTAAGTTTGTTTGTTTGTTCCGCTTTCACGCCATAACACTCAACCGATTGCTTTGAATTTTTGCAGATGTATAGTTAGAAGTCCGGATTAAATAATAGGGTAGTTTTTATCCCGGAAAAATTTGATATTCCCGAGGGAAAACAAAAGTATTGGTATAGATGGCGCTGTTTGTTTTGTTATATGTCACAATAGCTTTTTATCCTTTTGTGACGCGAGCGAAACCGCGGGTAAAAGCTAGTAATTTATAAATGAATGATTTCGAGTAGAGTTTTTTACGTAGGTATTTTTTATCACATTTATAACCTTTAGCTAGGTTAAGATCTAGAGTAGGCTTCCTAGGTTTAGAGGTATCCTTCTTGTGGAGGAGCAAATTATTTACTTTATGCATGCTTGGTATGCTTTTATTTCTATCTATAACAACATGAACAAAGAAAGAAAGATTTTTTTTTATTTCACACTCTAAAACCTAGTGACAAGTACAGAATATTGTTGGTTTATTAGTATGGTACAGATAGATACATTGTTCATGTCCCAAGTCTGTGGTAAGATTCGACCAGTTCAGCATATGCAAGACAGGGCCTTGAGCTGGTATTCTACTGGCCCTTTAAGTGAAAATGAATAAAAAACCAATTCAGTAGTTTTCTTCAGGCCAAAGTAATTTTTTCTAATAATTTAATCGCGTAATACAGTAAATTATAACATAACAACAAAAACGTATCCAAGATATTTCCTAATATCTTAGAATAAGAAACGCTATCTCCCGTCGTAATCTCGGAAACAGGTCAAGGTTGCAGCCGGAGACTTTCTCCAAGCGCTGTTGGTTGGTCCATTTAAGGTTGAGCGCACACCATACTATTGGACTATATTATTGACTTTTTAGTTTTGGACCTTTTTCTTCGGTTTTAAGACAAGATGCTAGATGTCTCTCATCCATTTTGATTATTTTAAAGAGCATAATAGCGCAATTGGGATGATGACTGGGTATGAAAATTAAAAATCTATTTAGTCCGTAAGTTAGGTATGAAAGTATATTAGACACGTATATTTTATATTTTGTCGTATAATAAAACAATACTTAGATAAAACGAATCAAAGTTTAGAAGTGGGGAACGTCATTTCTACGTATAAAATGTACATAGAAGTGACGTCACGCGACATTTCAAATCAATATATCGTCGAAACTATTCGTTTCTGTAAGAAAATAAAAAATACATGTCTAATGATTTAAAATAATCTACCAGACGGAAGTAAAATAAAAATTTGGCATTTACCCTATTAAAAAAATAACTACAACGAGTTATGACAAAGTCATTAACACTCAGTGAAAAACTAATCCTGTCAAAACACAGTGCACAAGGAACTATATACTTTTTATCAGAAAGAAAACTTCAAGGCGAGCATGGGTGACTCGCCGCCCGACCAGAACCAGGTCCGAGCGTACGGCGCGTCGCGTTCCGCGCGCGCCTCAAGGAGCCATCAGACCACCACAGATGGGGCCTAACAAGGCTGATGCCGATACGGAGCCGCGGAAGACTTAACGGGTTGCCGGGGCTCCGGCTCGAAGTGCAGGAGTAGGAACGGGGTGGTTTTTAGTCAGTAAGAGTCTGACACTCCCCCCCGCCTCACCCAGGCGGGAAAAGTCATTGGATGATTTTACCCCCTCAAAAAAAAAAAAATCCGTATGATGCCATTATCACATTCGCACTATAGCACCAAAAATCATCATCATCAACAGCCTATAAGTGCCCACTGTTGAGCAAAGGTCTGTTCTTATACGGAGAAGGTTTGAGCATTATTCGCCATGTTTGCTCAATACGGGTTAATTTTAGCACCAACCTTCTCAGTCAATTAAACTGTCAAACACCAAGCGGTCACCGGTGACCGCGACCTATTGTTCTTTAATTGTGTCTATAAAACCGGTACTCGACGAGTTAAATAAATTAATATAGATAAAAAAACCTCCCCACATATGCGCTGAGCGTTAGATCTGATGTCAGTTGCATCGGCTGCGCCCGCGCCGGCTCAAGGTCGCGACAATGAACTTGTATCGCTTACTTTCTATTTGTACTGAACATAGTATATGCTGGGCGCTCAGATAAATGTGGTAAGAAGAAATATGGTAAACTTCTTGGTCACTGTCAGAGGAAATAATATGTACAAAATAATTACCTAAAGTCACCTAAAATCTAAGTCATTCTTAAATACGTTCACCTTTCCTCTCTCTCTTACGTCAGAATCCTGGTTTAAAAGTTCACTGTTAAACTTTCTGGCTCATTATCATTTCAAGGCTCATTTTTCTGGATGTGAGTATGTATATTAATTATTATTGAATACCACAAAAACATTTGTTTCCAAATTAATCCATTAATGTCGTCTCTCAATTTTAAGATGTTCTTGTATAGACAGTACATTTTTTTTAACGTTGCCCTTCTCTAGTTTTTTCTTCTGTATCGTGGGTGCGTTCACAAACATACACCTTCACGTACTCATGGCACCCAGACTCACGCGACACGTTGCACGGCAGCCGGTTGCCCAACCACCGCGCCAACCTCGCACTAGAATTCTATGTAAAGTGACAGAGATGGCACAATATTTAAGTACAACTTGAATTTGAGTAGCCTTTTAATATTCAGGCGTATAAGTACTCAACTTTGTAACGTACGAATCTCAAGAAGTTAAAGTTTATCTAAAACATCTCCATATACTACAAAACATGAGAAGCAATGGGTGAGTATTACGCAACGACCTGAGTGCGTTGGCACACTTTATGTTGTATTACAAGTATTATAACCGACCACGAGCTCAGCGGTCACTGTTATATCATGAGCTCCACAAATTATTATTTATTGCTCTTATTTTATACACTTATGTGAGTAGAAAGTTTGGGATTTGTTTAATTGTGTTTCGTAATTTGGGAATGGAGGGTTAATTTAATGTTAAAAAGGATGTATTACCTAAAACAGGCCAGGATTAGAAATGATATCTATCTCCGAGATTATGATTGTTATAGATTTATTTTTATGTTTTATGGAATAGGAGGCAAACGAGCAGACGGATCATTTGATGGTAAGCGATCAGCGCCGCCCATGCAACACCACAGGAGTCACAGGTGCGTTGCTGGACTATTAAAAAGGAATACGCTCTTTACTTGAAGGTTTAAAGGTCATATCGGTTCAGAAATACCACTGACGACAGATCATTCCACACACACATACACACATTCCTCGCACTTATGTGCGAGGCAGAAGCCACGAGAGAAGCGCACAGTTCTGGCCTGCCAACCATCTATATGATGGGGATGCATAGATGATTGTTTGTTATAAATATATATGATGATTACAGAGACTATATCCAGATGTATTCTTGTAAATAAACAGTCATAACATCACTAAATGTTACTGATAGACAATTGACACTGTTCTAAAAATAAGTCTTACTGAATTAAAACAAACTTATATTTGTACGAAATTTTATTACTGTTTTTATTTAATTTGAAAAGTACCTTACTGGTACACGCATTGATTTGGTTAAATAGTTATTATACGCTGAAGTTGTAAGCGATAACGAAGGTAAGATTTCTAGTTACCTTCTTTAAAGAAAAATCCACATAGGTATGTAAATTGAAAGAGATCCACAATGGCTTTTAAAGGATCCACACTGATTTTCAGAAGATGCGATGACACACTATTAAATAACTTAGCGTTTATGGTCTTACAGGTGCAACAAAGCCAACATTGATCATTCACAACATGTTCATCTATTGGATAGAACACCGATCTTGATAGAACTGAGCGCTAAATGGATTGTCCAAGGCCATAGTACTTTCTGCGATCTTATCCTTGACTTTATCAGACACAGTGTAGATTCCTCCAACGACTCTTCTAATTCCTTTGCTTATGAAAATCTTTGGGTGATGTCTATGTAAAAATGCCTTCACTTTTCTATGTCTTATAACAATTTTTCGTTTAATCGGGTGTGGCCTGCTAAACACGGAGCGTTTCTTCTTCGGGAAAATACGTCTGGATCTCCTTTTCCCCATGATTTTAATCTTTGCTATGTCCGTGGTTTTATGGTCACATTTTTCTTCTGTATCTGTTTTGGTTTTTTGTGGAATTAAGAATTATTAATGAATTTTTATTATTCACATTCTGTTTGAGTATTTTTTTAGATGACAGGTTTGCTATTGTCATGTCGTGAATGAAGTTTGTGTGCTTTTGTTTGTCTGCCAGTTTATTTTTATAGGTTTTTGTGTTGGAGTTAAATACTTTTTGTTTTGTATTTTGTTATGACAGAAGGAAAGGAACTATTGTATCTGCCACAGCAACATTATTATTGATTAATTTGAGTTCAATAATGAAAAGTAAAACAATGTTACAGAATAATTTAATATAATTTATTTCATCAAACAAAACAATCTTTGGTTAAATAAATTAAGTACTAAAATTATAAATGCATTATTTAATAATGTTTAACACAGACTATAAGTTTAGAACTTTATTTTAAGATTTAAATTACAAACAAAAATAAAATTACGAATCACAAAAAAATTGTCAATATACAATCGAATTGAAAGCAATCACGAAGACAATATAGTCTAAATTAATGATCTGATATATGACTCCTGCCCATTTATTTCTCATCATATTCACAATCACCATCAATGCACCATCACAGGAACAGGAACATAATCCCCCCTTTTGTAATGCTCATCATAGTAAACATGGTCTTCACTCTTCGAAGGTACTTGGATGATTTCCACCTGAGTCTTGGTGTCGTCCTTCCTATTCTGGTAGCTGTGGCTGTGGTCAAACATACCTTTTAGGCTTAGAACTGAAGCCATTACAGTTGAGAAGAAGCCCATCATGAGACCTGCAAGGAAGCCTTTCAAAGTAATTTTGTTGTTGCAAACTGACAATTCTGTCTTCAGTTGTAATTGAGTACTTGCCAGCTAGTCAAATTCAATCATTTTTTCGAACTGTTAAAAACTACAGCTTTTTATGAATTTTGTACGAGATCGTGTAGTGTGACGTCACGTTTATTTAGCGTCAAACAATAAATATTTGCAGGAAACATATACTAAAATTAAGTTGGTCATAAGATCAATTAATAAAAGTGTGATTATTTTTTAATATTTTATTGTATTGAGCAGTTGAATTAATTTAATTTGTTTAGGAAAAGTGCCCAATTAATAAGTGTCTGTTGAGAAATATTATTGACTAGCTTTTACTGACAATTTCAACTGCGTAAATCCCCAACTACTTGCATAAAATTTCAATAAGATTGATTCAATACATGTTCATCACCTCAAGAGATTACAAACAAAATAAACTTACTTTGGCATTTGTGATAGGTAACAGTTTAAATTATTCTGATTCTAATTACTATTAGAATAGGTACTACCTAATCATTCAATTTTAAACAGAATGCAATAATTCTGGAACAGAAGCTTGTTCACATCAAAAATCTTTTTACCACAAGGACCTCATAACATAGTTTGTGAAAACTTTGGATCATATCATTTTGCACCTCCTATTTTATAATCTCCAGAACAAAAGACAGTCTTACCTTTAGCAGACAAGAATGCTAATGCCTTCAAAGCTATGGGAATCAACAGGCTCTTAGCAGCTAGAAGCCCAAGAATCAACGGCATCATATACTTCTTGTGCATCTTCGGAAATTTGTTGCCACCTCTTCTCTTCTTTGACGACTTTTTAAAGACCTTGAAGATACACTTCTGACCTTTAAGTTTTCCTTTACCCTTGCGTTTTTTATTTGAATGTTTTTTGTTACCCTTCTTCTTCTTACCCTTTTTGTGTCTGGGTTCTACTTTTGGTTGGGTTTTGAGGTCTCTTGGTTCGGAATCTGTAACTGATGGAAAAAGACTTGAAAAAAGATATATGTTTAAGTGCCTAGTAAGTAACCTAATGAGACTATTTGTCTGGTAGTCGCCCTTGCAATGCAAAGTAGAGCAATGTAAGAATGCTTTTCAAAATTGAACCTTGTGGTGACGGTAGAAGAGAATCATTCGTTGTTAGTGCCCCTATAAGTAAATATAAATGGTACGGTAGTGTTTGACTTCGCGCTCGACTTGGCAGGGGCACTGCCTTACCAGTACACCAGTAAATTATGCTTCATAGAGAGACTTTATCACAGAGTATAATATCTAATCAACGACTGATATAGGCAAATTTTTAATACTAAAGAATTCTATAAATGGATATACATATTACAGTAGTTATTGATGCAAAACTTGATCGTGATGTTTATCCTTTTATAGCAAAATTCTTTCTGGACGCACTACCACCATGAAATATTGCCAATTAATAAAATAAAACATTACCTTGTAAGGACCTGGGTGCGAAGTTACTGTTCGCAATAATCCACTGCACTGGTTCAGTTGAATTGAAACCTCCATCCACATAACCATCATGGCTGCTCGGAGCAAACCCGAAAACCGTCTCCGTCTTCACAATACCATAATTACTGGTATTATCCAGAATTAACCCACGGGAGTAAGGCAGCATTTTCAACACTAGTATCTACCACTACGTCTTAAAGTTCAATGTTGCTTATTTTTACCATTTTTTGTTCTATGTTTGACATGCACTAATGAAGTGGTTGTTATGGAAGTTGTCACTGACTTTTATAGCGTCAAAATGGGAACATATGGTCTATGAAGCGTCACGTATTAATGACTCTTTGACGGCATTTTTCTATTTAATTATGCGTTAATTTTAGTCTTAGGGAAAGCTTTGGCTAAGTGTCTAGTTTTCTTATTTTACTATTTGAGTTCCGTGAAACGAACACTATGTTGTTAACTATGCATCTTTCTACTGATCTGTCTAAACAAATTTTGGTATCTACACTGAGTCTTGAACAATTTCGATTGAATGTCAGTTGGTAGGTGCTTTACACTGGAGCAACTGCCATCTGTAGTCTATTACCTCGAGTCTAAGCCAACCATGCGATATGCTTTACCTGTCTACTGTTTGTTTCTTAGCTGAAGTATCAAGAATCATATTTTGAAGGTTAGTAAAATTGTATATTTACAAAGATAGTTTGATTTATGACTGGTGCTTTTTAAAACATATGTACATACCTTCTCATAGACTCATAGTTCTGTTTCCATGGGTTCTATAACTCAATCGTTGCTCCAGCTAGTTCCTTGCTGTATGCAGTTCTCGTTCATTTAAACAGATGGCGCTGCATATTAATATAGGACAGTTTCTGAGGTATACCAATAGATATAAAATAATCATTATGATTTGTATTTTCTACATTATAAAAAAATATGAATATTCTTAATAGATGGATGACTTCTGAATTTCTAATTCTCAAATATTTTACAGATATGTTAGCAACCAAAATTATTGTACTAAGCTATAAATGATCAGCAGTGGTCACGTTAAAAAGGTATTTAACACCCATAGTATTGCAGGAGATAGATCATCACCCTACTACTTTCGGCATAAATTCAGGTTGCTTACTAAAATTAGATATTGATTAGCATTGCTGCTTATCAAGCGAGTCTTACTTGACTGTAGTAATCTGAATGACCTCTAAAAATCAACCTTAATTTCATAAAAATAAATACTACATTATAGATTGGTTCGTAGGGTTAAGACGCTAGCTTCTTATGGATGAGGTGCGTAAGTACCAATGCGACTTCTTCCGAGTTATATGTACTCTCTAAGATTATCTAGATATCACTGACAAACGGTGAAGGAAACAACATAAGAAACCTGCACTTAAAATTTCTAAATATAAGTTTGATATCGCTAACCCGCAATGTGCAAGCGTGGTGATTGATGCTCAAACCTTCTTCATTTGATAAGAAGCTGTGATGTATGTATGGTTTGTTTCTGATCTATGTATTAATTTTACTGGATTTCGGAAAATGTCAAGTCTAATATAATAATGTCTGGTATTGAAGTCGTTATATTTTATTACAATTTGCATTATGTATCAGAATCAGAATCAGAATCAGAATCAGAATCATCATTTATTTGTTAAACATAGGTAGTTTACATAATAAGGTCTTAAATATAAAGATAGTCCACTATGTTTTGCCGTGATAGACATACAAATATATTAGGTACATGCATTTAAAACATTATTACAATTTCAGTTAAATTTTGTATAATAATAATAAAATAATAAAAATAAGGTATGTCAAAATTATGTCAATTAAAATTATCAAATTTATCAAGAAATACATTAAAATTGTCAAGAAAAAATTGAAATTGTCAAGAAATAAATTAAATTTGTCAAAAAATATTATCATTAAGGAATTCTTCAATTGAGTAATAGCATTTGTTTAATAATAGTTTATTGAGAATACTTTTAAATCTAATTACTGTTGTATTTTTTATTTCATTGGGAATCTTATTATAAATTCTAGGGGCATTACCAAACAAACTTTTGTACATAAGTGCTGTTTTACATTTTACTTGGCTTAATTTATTAACATATTGGGTGCGTAAGGGAACATTTCTGTCTGAGCTCAATTTTGGAAATAAGTGAGGATTTTGTTTTACAAATACAGCTGTTTCCAGTATATACATGGAGGGCAATGTTAATATTTTTAGTGATTTGAAGTGTGCAATACAGCTGTCTGTGGTCTTCAGACCACACATTGACCTTAAACATCTTTTTTGCATTCTAAACACAAGCTCTCTATCTGTAGACTGCCCCCAAAATATAATGCCATAGCGTAATACCGAGGCAACGAATCCATGGTATGCTGCAAGAAGAGCCTGAAGGTTTTTTTTTTGTAAGTTGGAAAAGCGCGTATGCGGATTTACTTAACCTTTTACATAACTCCTCAACATGAGGCTTCCAACTGAGGACGTCGTCAATGACTATACCCAAGAACTTGGCTTTATTTGCTTGCTCAATACAACGGTTTTCATACGCGATTTTAATATTTTCTTGATGACGACGCTGATGAAAGTGCATAACCTTTGTTTTGTTTAAGTTAATTACTAAATTATTTTTGTTAAGCCAATTGATGATATCATATAAGCATTTATTGATCTCATTTTCATAGTCGAGTTCATTTTTACATTTTATGATGACTGTACTGTCGTCTGCAAATAGGACCATTTTGTGTGATGTAGTTTTCGGTAAATCATTAATATATATCAGAAAAAGTAACGGCCCAAGAACGCTGCCCTGAGGGACGCCATATTTAATATGTCTTCGTTTTGATAAATATGTCGTTTCTAGCTTACTCCTCGGACATAGCCCACTGATCTCCGTATACTGAGTTCTGTCGCTGAGGTACGATTTCAAAAGTTGAAGGACGTTTCCTCGGACACCATAACTGTGTAATTTATTTAACAAGATATTGTGATCCACATAATCAAAGGCTTTAGTCATATCCGTGTATATTGCGCAAACTGGATTTCTTTTATCTACACATGTTACAATATCGTCTAGGAAGTCAAATACCGCCATGTTTACTGTAGTGTTTTTCCGAAATCCCTTCTGCTCGTCACAAAATAAGTGGTATTTATCAAAATAGTCATACAGGGAGTTATATATAACTTTCTCTATAATCTTTGAGAGTATAGGTATCTTAGCAATTGGCCTATAATTTTTTAAACATGTTTTACTATCCCTTTTATGTAGTGGTTTTATAATTGTATTTTTTAGTTTTATTGGAAATATTCCATCTGTTATACACATGTTAATTATGTGTGCTAGACGTGGGGCTATTATTTCTTTTACGTGTTTAATAGCTTTTGTCGACGTTCCGTCATAGCCTACCGTATTAGTATTTTTAAGATTACATATTATATTAATTATGTCTTTATCTGTTACTGATTGCATAAATAGTGAATTAGATGTCCATTTTATAGAATTATTATTGTAAGAATTAATATCATTATTAATATTATTTTCAATTTCATCAACAAAATAATTATTAAATTCATTAGCAATATCTTCTGGGTGCGTTACCACATCATCACCTTTTTCTAAGCATATTATTGACTCTCGTGGCATGCACAGCTTGACTTATTTATTATTTGCCAAGTAGCCTTCGATTTGTTTTGAGAGGTATGTATAAAGTGGTTATTTTGTGCTTTTTGGGTAAGTTTGATAATTTTTTTATATAGTTTTGTATATGTTTTTAAAGCTATTCTATTACTGTGGTTAGGATTTAATCTGTAAGTCCAAAGTAGTTTCCTTTGTTTCTTACTGCATAGTTTTATTCCATAAGATAGCCATTTAGTTGCTTTGTTGGTCTTAATAGTTACAATTTTTTCTGGAAAACATAAATTATAAAGTAGTAAAAAATCGTCAAAAAAGAAGTCAAAGGCTTCATTGGCATTCTTGGCATTATATATTTCAGCAAAAGATAAACAGCTTAGATGGTATTTAAAATTTGTTAAATTTTCAATAGACTGATCCCGTTTTTTAATTTTCCAAAACTTAAGTTTACATACCTTATTGACAGGGACTTTAAGTATAATGGATGCATGATCCGACAAAATGAGATCTAAAACTTCAGTTTTGCATCCTTTCATGATATTATGGGCGAAATTATCGATGCAAGTCTGACTGCTTAATCTAGTTGGTGTAAAAAGTGTTAGCTGCAGATTGTATTGGTTTAGAAAATTTTTAAATTCCGAAGTAGTTTTATTATTTTTTAAAATGTCAATATTAAAATCTCCGCACAAAATTATTTTTTTGTTAAATGAACGATAAAAGTAAGTTAGTATTAAGTCTAATTTTTCATAAAATATTGAGTAATTATATTTCGGAACCCTATATAAACAAATAATAATAATATTATGAGCTGGTATTTCTACTGCGCAGAACTCAATGACGCCCGAAACAGATTGTCTTGCTGCATATGATATTTCCTTAAAGTGCAACCCTGCTCTAACGAGAATGCAAGTACCACCACGTTTAGAATTCCTACAAAAGAATGCAGCCGGGCAATAGTTTGAAATGTGTAGTTGATCCAGATAACCATTCTCAATGAAGTGCTCTGTAATGCAAATGACATCCACAGTAGTACCTGTGTTAGATAGTTCGTCTAGTTTAATAGTAAGTGAGTCGGATTTACTAATTAATCCCGCTATATTTTGGTGTAGTATAGTAAGGTAGTTAAAGAAAAAACTGACTATCGGCTTGGTGTAATTTTAAAGATGAATCATTTTGATATTCGAGGGAGCAGTCAACATTTGAGTGTGTGTTATTTTGGATGCTTAGTTCATTGATTAGGTCTTGTAAATCTGATAAAATAATCCTCAAACCTCTATTATTTAGAGTTCCATTGTAGGTAGGTATGTAGGTATGTAAGTTTCATTGTAGGTAGATATTTAGCCAAACGCCACTTTAGCGCTTGTCTACCGAGAAAGTAGAAAAATGAATGTATGGGGATGACACTGACAAGTGTCAAAATTTACGTCAATTCCATATAATTTGGATCTCTCTTCTACAAGTAAGTTATGTTCGCCAAAGATGGCCCGCTTTCTGAGACGGGCCACTTAAAAAATATGCAGTTATGGTT